AACAAATTAAACTCACTCATAGCAACCTTGAGAACTTTGAAAGGCGCTATATAAAAAAATAAAAAATAAATAAAAATAAACATATTATAGCCTACTCCTAGAAATTACAAAACGTCATTCAAATTTGGCAATTAATACATTTTCTTATCCCTAATAATCAACACAATGCAGGAGAAACTGTAATATGAACTGCTGCAGTGCTAAACTTGAATCATATAATATAACAACACACAAACTATCAATGTATGAACCGACGCATCTTTTTATTATATCCATGAATGTGGTTATAGTCAAATCATATATGACAGTGAAATCACTCTGGAACTCTGTCCTGTCATGCCTGCACTCGAGACAGTGACGTGAGCTCTAGTCTTCAGTCCTATTGGTTGTCTCTAGTGAAATTAACTTCTCATTGGCATAAAGTTGAAATTGAAAAAACTTTTGTTGCTTGTCTCGCATCGCTTGACGCTATAATTCTGTCGCCAAGATCCACTGTTGCTCGTGTTGCAGGAATTCCCAGCGCTTTTGAAAATGAATGGGATAATCGCTTTGCTGCTGCATGTCAATGTTCAATTTAAAATTGAACCTAGAATTGAGGACAGGATTTAAGACACTCTGCATAGACAGCAGCATCAAAACAAATAGTACTAGTTTATTTTAGCATGTTGCTAAGCTAACAAAACATTAATATACACTCACCTAAAGGATTATCAGGAACACCTGTGGTAATTTCTCATTAATGCAATTATCTAATCAACCAATCACATGGCAGTTGCTTCAATGCATTTAGGGGTGTGGTCCTGATCAAGACAATCTCCTTAACTCCAAACTGAAATTTAGAACGCGAAAGAAAGGTGATTTAAAGGGGGGTTGACTGTTTTTTTTCTTTGCATGATTGTGTTTATGGGGTGCAATATAATGTATTTGTGGTTTTTCTTTTTTGAAAAGTCTTATTTTTCATAAACTTCACCTTTATTGTCAGCCGCGCTCTCCTCTGTCCTCGAACGACCGGTCGACTTCCTGAGTCTATGAAACCACTCAGAAACAGGCAGTGGGCTCAGATTGGTTGGTTTAGGCCGGTGTGTTGTGATTGGCTAAACTGTCGCTCACGTTGTCCGGAAGGTCAACGCCATTACCTTAACTGGCGAAACGTGCATGTCATGAGCTCCGGTCCAGATGTAAATACTGGTGTCGAACTGCAGTATCAGTTTAAGGCAGAATCAGAACCGAGAAAGCTGCGATGAAGAGAGTCAAGCAGAAACTCACCACACACTGCTCTTACTAAACGTTTCTGAATGATAATTTGCTACATTTTTTCACTTTATACACATTTGTTTTACACAATAACATCTGACTGGCAACAATAGCAACTGACTGGCTACTAAACAGCGTTGTCATTAGTTTACGTTCTTGATCAAATCGAAAATAACGTCTTAAAGCATATATTCATGAAAAATACATTTAAAACATTAGTACTTATACAAAATTCAGGTCCATAATGTTTGTACGCGTTTGTCGTAGACACAAAATAGCATAACTAGTAGCCTAGTGGCTATAAAGCCAGCGCTGGTATTTGAAAAAAAAATAAAACACAAGGCTACGTCTGGAATTACACATGCAAATACATTTAAAATGATTAAGTCTTAGCCTACTTACAGGTTGTGGCCCAACAACTGCTGCCTCTGGTTTTAAAGTTGGAACTGCTTCATGTTTAAGTAACAGTTTCTTCAGTTTCAATCAAATATAAATTGTATCCATTGTTGACGAAGTACAGCATCCGTGGAAAGCTCGAACACAGAAGACCTGACAGCTGCGTGAACAACACACTCGACGATCTGGAGCTGCTGAAATATGCACATGCCCTTTTTTGCATTTTCCGGAGGGAGGGTTGATGCAAATGTACGGGTTAGTGACGTCCAAAGCCCAGCTGTAGTCCCAATCGAGTCGTTTTTGTAGGCAATATACTTCCTGATTTTTAAAAGACGATATCTCTGCTTACACTGAACTCTCAGCGCTGCAACTTTGCAGATACTGTTCATGCACCAACAGCAACATTACACACTATTTAAAATGAAATCGCAATCAACCCCCCCTTTAAGCAATTTTGAGTGTGGCATGTTGTTGGTGCCAGACGGGCCGGTCTGAGTTTTTCACAGTCTGCTCAGTTACTGGGATTTCCACGCACAACCATTTCTAGGGTTTACGAAGAATTATGTGAAAAGGGAAAAACATCCAGTATGCTTCAGTCCTGTGGGCGAAAATGCCTTGTTGATGCTAGAGGTCACAGGAGAATGGGCCGACTGATTCAAGCTGATAGAAGAGCAACTTTGACTGAAATACATTTACATTTAGTCATTTAGCAGATGCTATTATCCAAAGCGACTTACATCTGAGGACTAAATCAAACAAGTGAAGAGGCAATAACAACACAAGAAGTGCTCAAAATACAAAGTTCAGACAGAGTAGCTCAGAGCAGCATAAACCAGGCAAGTAAGGATTTAAAGAATATCTTTTTTTTCTTTTTTTTTAAAACCCACAAATAACCACTCGTTACAACCGAGGTATGCAGCAAAGCATTTGTTAAGCCACAACACACACAACCTTGAGGTGGATGGACTACAACAGCTGAAGACCCCACCGGGTACCACTCAAAAGGAAAAAGGAAAAGGAAAAAGAGGCAACAATTTGCAAGAGCTTACCAAAATTGGACAGTTAAAGACTGGAAAAATGTTGCCTGGTCTAATGAGTCTCGATTTCCTTTGAGACATTCAGATGGTAGAGTCAGAATTTAGTGAGAACACATGGATCCATCATGCCTTGTTACCACTGTGCAGGCTGCTGCTGGTGGTGTAATGATATGGGGGATGTTTTCTTGGCACACTTTAGGCCCCATAGTGCCAATTGGGCATCGTTTAAATGCCATGGCCTACCTGAGCATCGTTTCTGATCGTGTCCATCCCTTTATGGCTACCATGTACCCATCCTCTGATTGCTACTTCCAGCAGGATAATGCACCATGTCACAAAGCTTGAATCATTTCAAATTGGTTTCTTGCATGACAATGATTTCACTGTACTAAAGTGGCCCCCACAGTCACCAGATCTCAAACCAATAGAGCATCTTTGGGATGTGGTGGAACGGGAGCTTCGGGCCCTGGATGTGCATCCCACAAATCTCCATCATCTGCAAGATGCTATTCTATCGATATGGGCCAACATTTCTAAAGAATGCGTTCAGCACCTTGTTAAATCAATGCCACATAGAATTAAGGCAGTTCTGAAGGCGAAAGGGGGTCAAACACAGTATGGTGTTCCTAATAATCCTTTTGGTGAGTGTACATAAGAATTCTTTGGAAGTAATGCAGCCTTAGAATTTAACCAAAAATAGGTATTTTATAGTTATGCTATAAGTAGCTTTCAAATTGGGAACTAGACAGTTTGCTAGGTTTTGGAACAGAGCCATAGAAAGTTGAGTTAGATTTACACACATGCATATACAGTATCATTACTTAACACAGTCTATAAGATACTTCATAACATTACAAGTGCCCCCATACAAACCTAAATGAATGTTTTTCTCTTCACAGCAAGCAAATGGAAAGTGGGGCAAGACAGTGTTTGAATACAGGACCCAGAAAACAGCAAGATTACCTATTGTGGATATTGCACCTGTGGACATTGGAGATTCAGACCAGGAGTTTGGTATTGATATCGGACCTGTGTGCTTCTTGTAAATCAAAGAGTAGAGATGCATTGAAGAGAATCCTGAGACTCTTAAAGCGACTGCTGACGAGATCAGCCTTGTACATACAGAGCATTGGACTTTTCTGGCCATTTAGCTAGATATTTATTGTGCCTTCCAAGCATTTCAAGAAAACAACCGCACCACAAGCTTTTTATAGAATGGTCCCCCGAAAAAAGAAATTCAATTCAACTGAATTTTTATACTACAAGACTTTCCATCAACTGCTGTTTTAAATTGACATGGCCATTCCAAGCAATAGAGTAATGACACTACACACTGTACCAACTCTATTTCCAGTTAAAATGATCTGGATTTGCCTGTTTTCATTAAAGTATGTTTTTTTTTCCTCGTATTATTATTTTTAGAACTAAAATGGTGCTATAGAGGAAGTTTACATTCAGTTGAGAATTTTTGACTCCTATAACTGCTCTCTTGAACATTCACCTTGTAATTACTTTTTAACCGAATTTACAATTAAAGATGAAAACATTTATTCATTACTGCAAGCTACCTCGTTTCTGTAAACTGGTGAAATTTGACAACAGACTTGCTGTACGTGAATTGATAAGGATCTGTACGACTGGTTGTATTTCTCTATCAAAAGGTACAAAGCAGTGTAAGGAAACGCAAATAAAATCAAATGCATCTGAGACTGCTTTGTTAAAAGGTGCATAATCATTTCTCTTTCCCAAAAAAACAAAAAAAACAAAACAAGTATCCAAGTATACCACAAGTGCAATGCAGGAGTTATATTTTTTCTCAAGTGACCGAAAAGTAGCCCTTGCATCAGTTTTAAAGGCTTTTGTAAAGGTAAATGGCACAATGTAGTAAAATGCTGGAACAGTTAAATAAATTAGAGCAGTATTGACAATTTTTATGATATTTTCTAAAGCATGCAGGTATACCCATCATTCTTGCACTTTTTCTTCTTTTATTATTATTTTATTCTATTTTAGAAGTCTTTTAAGCCATTTGGAATGGCTTCGAAGCTAATCTCATGTATTTGCTTTGCAAATTAAACATATGCTCAGTAGCATTTTCCATTTTATTGAATCAAAAATTTTCTTCCTCTTTTTTTCAAAATGCTTGTTTCTTTACTCACCTTTTACGCATGAAAATATATTTTTTATGAATAAAAATGTAAGATACTGCTTTGCTTCATTATATCGAAGTTGTAAGAGTTATTTGTGCAATTATGTTAAAATTTGTCTGAATGTTTTTATTTCGATTATTATTTTTATTTTTGCTTTGAGCAAATAAGAAATGGCAGGGATAATACTTGTTTATTTTTTATTTTTTCCTAAGTGTAAAAGTCATTTAAGTATAGTTCAGACCAGAACGATAAATGTCTAGGATCACGGAGACTGCTTTGTTAATTAAAAAACATGGCTATTTAAAGGTGCAATAGCTAATCTCGAAAATGCTAAATTAAGCCTGATATAGCATTGAATGAAGATCGGAACGAATGGAATGATTGAATGAACATTTAATTTTCCACAAACAATCTATATTTAAAACATTTAGACGTGATAGCATAGTGATTGCTATCAGGATATGGGGAGAATATCAACCAGCAAAACAAATGTTTCTATAGAGAATTACCTATTGCACCTTTAATTAACAGGATGTGTGCTTTATGAATCCAGTGTGAATGTTATTATGCCTTGTATATGTTCTTCAGATAGACTTTCTACAGGTTTCTACAACAATTGCACTGTTTGAAATATCTTTGTGTAGGACGACTATGAAAGGAAAAACTCTTTTGTTGAACATTCGAAGGATGGGAAAGAGCAGCGATTCGAGAAGAATGTGGTACTCTTCAGAAAGACACTGATGAACAGCACACAACACAATACATAATTGATCCAAATTACATTTGAAATTTTAAAAAAGAAATCATGAATTATAATGGGGCGGAAAAGCACATTTTAAGCTTTTATGCTAATTTTTAGAGAGTATATTTAAAACACACACAAAAGTGTGTACTGCAAATGAATGATGCTCAAGTATATGATTATTTTACTGTAATATTACAATTTCTTTACATTGTATTTTCGGATTTCTATACAATATCTTCCACTTGAAATAAATTACTTAAACACTATAGCACGTGAGTGACAATTTGTTGAGCCACAAAAAAAAAATAAAATAAAAAAAATACATATTTGTTTATATTAAATGCAGGCAAAGTTTAAAAAAGACATGTTACAAAACAACTTACACAGAGAATATGTACCGTTTTCTTTTAATGACTACAACAGCAAAGGCTAAAATAATACATATAAACTGAATGAACAATAACACATAAACAGAGCTCTTTCAAAGTGCTTCCTTGTGCAAGAGTATACTAAAATATGTAATATAAAACTAAACTGCAATACACGCACATGTTAATGCGGAAATAGCCCAGTCTTACAATTTATGGCACTGCTGTTCAGTTAAAAAAATACTGTATTTAAATGGATCCACTGCTAAACAAAAACAATATCATAATTTTACATGTAATCTGATAAAAAAGGAAGCGTGGTTATGATGCAAGTTAAAACATTAATTGTTAAAAAGAAAGTTGCAAAATAAAGGGAGCACTCTATAATGATAAAGTTTTATGGATTTTATGAATTGTAATATGCCATAGAGATATAAAAACAGCGGTTTGTATAGAGCTTCAAGAACTTTGACACAGACTGTGCAATTGGACATACTTTCTACATCCTTCATTGCCTGTACAAGCAAGGGGTGTTAAAACTACATTACTTACTAGTTGTTGTTTTTTTAGTTCTTACAAAAATAGTGATCTACTGCTTCTGATTACTCAATATACGTTTTGTAAACCAAATTCAAAAGGCAAATACATAAAAAACCGTAAGATAAGACATTGACATCTTGACTGTAATTCCCGAGTTTGGCACTTTAATACAAATGGTTTAACATGAAAGTGACAAAACTTCTTCTTGGCATCAGCAACGACCTTCTAGTGGATCAAGGGAAAAGACAGTGCCCTCTACTGTTAGTCCCATTTTGAACCCCTCCTGGAGAGGAAAAACAACAGGAAAACCAAGGTCTTTAGTATTACATCTAAACGACCCAAAACCTTCTAAAACACCCACATTATACAAAAACATTTACAAAAGTTAAAATACTTTAAGCAGGGCATAGGGAAGATGAAAACGACACAGGGATTAATGTTTGGGTGTAAATAATCTATCGTGCGTCATTTACAGGGATAGTTCAAATAATAATAATAATAATAATAATAAATTGTCATCATTTACTCTCATGTTGCTCCAAACCTGTGTGATTTTCCTCATCCCAAGGAACACAAAAGGAGACGTTTGGCAGAATATTGACACTGCTTTTTTCATACAATGTAAGTGAATGGTGACTAGGGGCCATCAAGCTTCATTTCATTTGGCTGATTTGAATGTGTGCATATTTATGTTTGGAAATGACATTACACATATTGCCATCACAAAGAACTGATTCAACAATTTGGTTTGTACCTCACACAAATCTACTATGGCTTTAGAAGACTTGGGATATTGGACTCAAGTTTATGTAAACCAGTCACCATTTATTTTCAAAGCATGGAAAAGATAAGTGTGGACATGAAGGAAATGAGGGTGAAATGGACAGAATTTTTTTTTTTTTTAATATACCATCCATTTAAAAAGGTTATGCATGCCAAATTAGATCTCAGTTTTAAGCCATCTGGGGCAAAAAATAAAATAAAAAATCAAACTGTCACAAAATACAAACCATCTTTGCCGCTGCAAGCAGAAAGAAAGCAAAAAGATGGGAAATTGAAGTTGTTAGTTGAGCAAAACTACCAAATGATATAAATGTTTAATGTAACTGCTCTGTATGCAAGATTTCCTGCATGTTAGTCTATTTTAATAGGGTTCAAAGCATACTTATCAAAAAAGCAAACTTAGCACTTCTCTCGAAAGTTTTGCATCCACATACAGCACAGCACTCCGCGCTTCCCCGGGCGCTGAAGCAAACAGCTGCCCACTGCTCCGAGTGTGTGTGTGTGTGTGTGTGTGTGTGCTACTCACTGCTCCAAATATGTGCGCTCTAAATTGGATGGGTTAAATGCAGAGGATAAATTCCGATTATGGCCTACAATACTTGGCCTTCGCATCATTTCACTCACTCCCAAGTCAAATCCAAAATGAACATAAAATAAAACTTTATGAAATCATCCAATAGGTCCCTTCTGAATGAAGAATGTCTTCACAGCTGCAGAAATGCCTGCCATCAGCTCCATTAGCTGCTCATTCACACCGGTCCATTTGCTAATAATTCACAGACATGCGGTCACCTGCATCTCATCCAGCTTAGATTGGATGTCGGGAGGAAAGTCAGCTGCCCCGCAGGTGAATGGATCAAATGGCTCTGCACCAAATATGTCTCTCCCTAAAGAAGAAGAAGAAGAGGGTCTCTTTTTTCCTTCATTTTACATGCCACTAAAACTAACTTCTACAATATATGACAGTAAAAAGACTGCCTACGCAACCAGACCTTATGGTTGAATGAATCAATATTTAACTTTTCAGAGAGGAAAGACTTACTCATCTCTGTAGGCCTTGCTGGGGGTGGAGGGGCCGAGCCATTACTTGCTGGTAATGGAGCCAATGGGGGCATTGCAGAAAATGGAACCATGTCAAATATGTCAGTGGGGTTCTTCGGGGACATGCTGTTTCCCTGCAAATATGAATAATGAGTAGATGAGTATTCTGAAGAACACCTAATTTGAAAACCCTTTTCATCTGTTAAAACATAAGAATTATGTGCTACATATAAAGTGGTGCAGGTATGACGTCAGAATTTTGGATTTATGTATAAAATAAACCCTGTGGTAAGCATAACTTGATACTTTGACATTTTGTTCTACACCGTACATTGCACACACTCACTTATCTGCAGCTTTAAGCAAATACTTTATTTTTACACAAAAATGAAACCTAAAGGAACCAGGTTGACAACATACCTGTTCTATTCTATTAAAGAGTATGTATAACGTTAAAGTCACCATGAAATCAGAATAAAGCCTACTCAATCAATCAAAAAAAATAAAATAAAAAAAAAATATATATATTGAAAATACGCTTTGAAGCTTTCCTGAAGCTAAAAATGTCTCTAATTTCTTCATCTTTTTCATGATCCAATCAATTCCCAAATTATGAATTCGAGCCCCACCTTTTTTTTTGCTTTGATAAATAGAATGACCTACTTGTAAATATTTCAACTTACAGAAGTAAAATGGGTCTTAGACAAAATTCATGACCACTTAAGGGCAGTTCAGACTGATCCAACAAAAACTAACTGGAATCTAGTGTTGGTCTTTGTTGAGGCTAGGGGAGCACGGGGCACAACCTAACGCGGGGTTAAAGGGTTAGTTCACCCAAAAATGAAAATTAAGTCATTAATTACTCACCCCCATGCTGTACCAACCCCGTAAGACCTTCGTTCATCTTCGGAACACAAATAAAGATATTTTTGATTGAATCTGAGAGCTGGATCAGTCCTACATAGAATGCCTAAGGGACTGGCTCTTGACGGCCCATAAAGTCATTAAAGAAAAGGTTTAAATATTCCATGTGCCTACAGCGGCTCAATTATAAGTTTATCAAGCGATGAGACTACTTTTTGTGCGAAAAAAACATAAATAACGACTTTATTTGACTATTCTATTACTTCCTTATGGGCGCATGCGCGAGAACTGAGACGAGGACGTTCTCCTTCGACTACTTTTTGTTACCGGCTGCTCACCGCGCTTAGAAGTATTACCGCCACCTACCGTATAAGATGATGATCCATATATAAGGCGCTCCGGATTATAAGGAACACTGTCGTTTTTTTGAGAAGATTAAAGGCTTTTAAGTGCACCTTATAGTGCGGAAAATACGCTAATTGAAAAGCGTATGTACAGCGCGCATCTTCCTCTGCTTGTAAACAGAAAGTTTTGCGCTTCCAGCTATATCAGCACATCATCTTATACGGTAGGTGGCGGTAATACTCCTAAGCGGTGAGCAGCCGGCAACAAAAAGTAGTGGATGGAGAACGTCCTCGTCTCAGTTCTCGCGCATGCGCCCATAAGGAAGTAATAGAATAGTCGAATAAAGTCGTTATTTATGTTTTTTTTTTC